GGCCCAGATCTATACTATTTCCCTGCTCCCCTTGGATCTTCTGGGGCCCAGAGGGGCTAAGATGGCCCCTGGTTGAGAGGTACTGGCATCCTCATGGGAGGCTTGCTCTTCTCCAGCTCCCACAGTGCTTCTGGTGGGAAGGCTACAGGTGTGACCTGGTGGCTGAAGGCTCCCAGAAGGGGGAGTGGTCAGACCTTCCTTATTAGGCAGGTCACAGGCCCAGCCCAGGGTAAATGGGAAGGAGCTACAGTTGGACGCCCAGAGAGCCACCTTTGTGGCTGCTACCATGAGTGATATAATACTGCTGACACTAATTCTAGACGTTGGTAACTGATAAAATTACTGACTTGGGGCCTGTCTTGTTTCATCTCATCCTCTTCAGATTATTTTGAAGTCAGTTCCCCACACATTTTATTATCCCACATACAAATAATTTTATGAGGTAAACCCGACCAACCTGGATTCAATTCCTCTGCCCCTCTCAGAGAGCCCGGCAAGCTACCGAGAGTATCTCGCCCGCACGGCAGAGCCTGGCAAGCTCCCCGTGACGTATTCGATATGCCAAACACAGTAACAACAAAGTCTCACAATGGAGACGTTACTGGGCCCGCTCGAGCAAATCGATGAACAACAGGAGGACAGTGACAGAGACAGTGAATTGTAAAATTTTAAAGGCATTCTAGTCACTTCACATTTTCTCATTTCTGAAGACTTTTCCTCCATTACCCCTGAAAACAGTTTATGATCTTACCCTGTAGATCAGTTTCGTATCAAGGCATCAAACCCAGGACCTCACACATGTGATGCTTATATTGGGAACTACGTCCCCAGTCCTCTTTCTGCTTTGCTTCACTGAGCGTGGTTTTGAGATTTATTCATGGTGTTGCGTCTAGTCAGTTGTTCGTTTTTGTTATAATATTTCATTATGTAGCTGTAATAAAGCTTCTGCATTGTGTGGATGGACTCCTGGGCTTTGTCTAGTTTTTAGGTGTGAACGAAGCTTCCAGGGGACATTTTTATCTAGCTTTCTCTGGACATGTTTTTTGTTTGGTTTGGGTTTTTTTGGTCCACAGCTGGTGGTGTTCAGGGGTACTCCTGGCTTTGCACTCAGGTGGTATTCCAGGGATTATATGGGATGTTGGGATTGAATCCAGGTTGGCCATATACAAAATAAATGTCCTACCCACTGTATTATACCTCTGGCCCCTCTAGACATACGTGTATTTTTCTTAGATAAATTTCTATTCTATTTGGAGTAGAATTGCTGGGTTATAGAATAAATGATTATTTAATTTTTGGATGGGGGAGACAAGGCTCAAAGGGGCACTTGGGGCTGGACAGTCCAGTCTTCAGACCCAGTGATGGTACATCACTGAACTCAGAGGAGACTGTGCCACATACGGAATCAAAGTCAGGCCTCTACATGCCAGGCACATATTTCAGACCTCTGAACTATTTCTCTAGCCCTTACTTCCTTGTCTACTAATTTGGGGGCCCACACCTGCCTGTGCTCACAGTTTACTCCTGGCTCAGGGCTTACTCCCGGCTCTGCTTTCAGGGCTTCTGGCAGGGTTCAGGCAACCATATGGGATACTGGTGAATGGGCCCTGGTTGGGCGCATTCAAGGCGAGCGCCTCACCTTCGCTATAATCTCTCCAGCCCAACTTAGCTCTGTTTCCTGAATGGTTCTATCATTTTGCTCCTCTACCAGAAATAGATGAGAGTTCTCATTTTTCCACATGCTTGCTAACATTTGATGTTGTTAGTTCCTTCATTTTAGCTATTCAGATGGGTATTGATTATGTAGTGATATCAAATTTTTTCATTGATTTATCCTTGGTTTACAATACAATGAAATTTCAAGAGGTTAGAATCACTCTTCATAAGACTCACCGTACCCATCATCAAGGTCCCAGTACCATCCCACCACCTTAAAAATCCCCTCCCAATCCCCGCAATCATATATATATATATATATATATATATATTTTTTTTTTTTTTTTTTTTTTTTTACTTTCCTAGTTCTAATGTGATACAAGTCAGGCCCATAGATCCAGTGGGTTGTCTATTCTAGTTTCTAGTCTCTGGATTTTTCCTCTCCTCACCACATTGTTTGTCTCATTTTTTCCATTTAATTCAGAAAAATACCTTTGCTATTTGTCTTATAGATACTAATATGGTCTGGATTTTGCTGATCATTGCAATCCTCTCCTGTGTTCCCCTGTAAAATTAGTAGTTATAATTCAGTGGCTCTATTAGATTCAGTTCTGATCACAATCTAGTTCTATGAATTAGTCTGGGATTCTAAAATACTTGTCTTTATTCTCTCAGCCTTTTCAATTTATGAGTTTAAGAAGATACATTGTTATCTGTATTGTTACCAAGTGTGTTTATGGAAGGCAAGATAGGGCCAGAGAGATTATTTAAAGAACTCGGGTTCTTTAAATAATACATACAAAATACATGGGGCTGGAGCGATAGCACAATGGGTAGGGCGTTTGCCTTGGATGCAGCCAACATGGCGGACCCGAGTTCGATTCCTCCGCCCCCTCGGAGAGCCCGGCAAGCTACCGAGAGTATCTCGCCCACACGGCAGAGCCTGGCAAGCTCCCCGTGATGTATTCGATATGCCAGACACAGTAACAACAAAGTCAACAATGGAGACATTACTGGGCCCGCTCGAGCAAATCGATGAGCAACGGGAGGACAGTTACAGTGACAGTGACAAAATACATACAAAAGGGCCCTTGGTTCGACCCCTGGCTCTGAAGCCCTGCAAAATAGAGCCCTGGTGACCCCAGCACTGTTGAACCCGAGCAGTGCACAGCTGAGCAAGTGCTGTAGGAGGAACCCGATCCCTGAGCACCCCTCTCCTATCCATACTCTCCTTGAGAAAGACAAGAGAAAATTCCAATTCTTTTCCTGTACTTACTAATTTTGAAAATATGAGTTGGAACCCTAGCATCCTGTTGATATTTCAAATGTTTTCATTCTCTTACAGCTTTTTCTTCTCAGTTTTGCTCAGAATGTACCTTTTTTGCTTAGTGGGAACTCTGTAAATTGGTCTCTGCATCCTTTTGTCACGATCCTTAGAGTTCCGAGGGCTTTTCCGCTGTACAGCAGATGCTCTGGTCTCATCCTGTGCATGTTCTGACCCAAATCTGGAATCATCTTTTTCTTCATGAATCTCCAGTTTTTTCCTCTTCTTTCTTTATTTTCTAGAGTGGGCCATACCCAACATGCGGGGGGCTACTCTTAACTCTGTGCTTTGATATTTGCTGCCAGAGTTGTTCAGGGGACCATGTGGTATTGGGGATTAAACTCAGGTCAGCTCCATGCATGCAGTGCAAACACCTTTACCCCTGTACTATCTCTCCAACCCAGATCCTTTGGTTCTTACCCTTTTTACAATAAAATGCATTAGGAGTCTATTAAAACTTGAATTTCAAATACAAGGTTAAAATTTTGGATTTTTTTTTTTTTGGTCACACCTGGTCACTCTTCCGGGGTTACTCCTGGCTCTGTACCCAGAAATTACTCCTGGTGGTGCTCAAGGGACCATATGGGATGCTGAGGATTGAACCCAGGTCAGGCACATACAAGGAAAATGCCCTACCGGCTGTACAATCACTCCGGCCCAGGCAAAAAGGTTTTTATAAAACCTCATAAATTTATGTATCTTTTTTCCAAACCCAGAGTCTCACTGCCCAATAATGCCAACTCAGTTGCCTGTTTTTTCCCAAATCACATCTATATGTAATAAACTCAGTAACTGTATCAACAGTACTGAAAACAACTTGAAAAATTTTGGCACTTTTACTTCTGGATTTTTCTGAGGTAGAGTAGGGTTGGTCATATCTGGAGATGTCCCAAAGTGATACTTGTGGGAACATGTGATACTGGGACTCAAAACCAGAGCTCACACATAAAAATCAGTTGCTCTGTCTATGAGCAGCATTCCCATCTACTTCCTTTTACTATTAAAAATATTTTTTTTCTGGAAATACAGGCAAATTACTATGTTTTTAAAGTCACTTTGGACTTTTTCCCCCCTGTGATTATGCCTTGAGATTATTTATGTTTGTGTTTGTTTTATTTAACTTTTGACTGTTGCGATCTTGGAATTTGTTTTGTTTTGTTTTGTTTCTTTCTGAGCTGGGGACTGTCCACACTGGGCAGTGCTGAGGGGCTACTTCTGGCTTTGGTGTTACTCCTGGCAGTGTTTGCAGGACCATGTGGTGTTAGGATCAAAACCTGGTCTCCTTACATCAAAGCATGTGCTCTAGCCCACTGAGCTATCTCTCCATTCCCTCGTGATTTAAAAAATTAGTAATTAAAAAAAATAATCAGTCAACAGTTATGTACAGTAGTGGTTTTCAAAGTTGGATCTATAAGGAATATTCAGAGAGGTCTGGTTTTGCACTTCATTTCCTTCGTCCCCCTCCCCCCATACCAACTTATTCTAATACTGATTTATTTTTTCCATCTAAAAAGGCTGAGGAGGGCCAGAGAAATAGTATAGCGAGTAAGGCGTTTGCCTTGCCTGCAGCCAACCCAGGTTCGATTCTCAGCATCTCATGTTATCTCTCCAGCATCACCAGGACTAATTTCTGAGTGCAGAGCCAGGAGTAATCCCTGAGCATTGCTGGGTATGACCCAAAAAAGCAATGAAGAAATAAATGGCTGAGGATGTGACTTTGCAGTAGAGAAATTACTTAAAAAAAAAAAAAGAATAGAATGGGAACATGCTATAATATTTTTCTAACCTTTGTGGTCACTGAAAGTTTAAGATTTTTTTCATGAGTTATATGGCATTTATAGGATATGATCCTTTTTCCACAACTAGCTAATTGTGGAAATAGGGATTGGGGGAGGTAGAAAACTATTTCAGGTACTTCTCAGTTCCATGGGAATGACAATCATTCGACACGATAGCTGGGGGGTGCTGGTTTCCATTGCTGTAATGTCTGTTCTTAGGCACAACTTTTTTTTCTCATTAGACCTCGGATTTTCCTGTTCTTGACCCCTGCTGGACTGCTCAAGAAGAGATGGCCCTTTTAGAAGCTGTGATGGACTGTGGCTTTGGAAATTGGTAAGAGCCCTGTGGTCGGGATTCTCCTGTTCTGCTGTGCTCAGAGGGTAAGCAGCAGTTGCAGTAGAGTCCGGGGAACGGTAATGGGGAGGCGGATGGAGCTTTCCTGTTGCTCAGTGGCTTCAGGGACAAGCCTTGTACATCTTAGCACCTCACTGTCCAAGTCTCCCGAGACTTGGGTATCTAGTCCCACACAGAACCAGTTTGCATGCATCACTAGAGGCCAGTGATTTTTTTCCTTTCTGAAGTGTGGGTGAGTTTAGACTTCTCAGGCAGTCACTGTTCTTTTATGATTTTATGAAATTTTCATTTAAAAATCTTTTTTTCTCTCTTTCTTTTTTTTTTTTTTTTTATTTGGTCTACACTTGACAATGCTCAGGAGCTCCTTCTGGCTTTGCACTCAGGAGCCATTCCTGGTGGTGTTCAAGGAACCATACAGAATGCCGGGGATTGAACCCCGAGTAGTCTGTGTATAAGGCAAATGCCCTACCCACTGTACTGTCGCCCTGGCCCCCTGGTTTGATGACATTTTCTTGACATTAGACGTCCTGATTATGTAAAGGAGCCTGATTTTCAGCAGATAACCATAGCGGCCTGAGATCCAAGTGTGTCAGCCTTTTTCTTCTAGAGTCTGATTTTAGTATGCAGGTACCCGCCTTTGGGACAAAGCCTGCCAGGATTAAACAGACGCTTTGTTCCTGTCCAGGGAGACTTCCCTTAATAAGAGTACCACTGTTCTCAGTTTTACCTCTTGGGAGTCTTTTTCATGCTGATAGTTTCGGTTTTTTGAACCAAATAGAGGGAGCTATTATTAAATACGTTTTGTGTATGACCATTATGACACTTAGGGAGTTCAGAGTGACTTTGCATGCTCGTGTGTCTGACTGGTGAAGATCTCTTACAGCATCCTTCCATGGCAGTTCCCTGGGCCCATTCAACCCTTTCTCCTCTCCCTCCTCCTCAGTAGCGTTGATCATGCAGTCAGAGGCTGAGGGTTTGTTTCCATTGGACCCTGTCTGTTCCCTTGCTCACGCATGAGTGAGATCGTCTGTTATTTGTCTTTTTCCTTCCGATTTTTTTCCCCCTCAGCATGACATCTATTCAGTTCCATCCGTGTTGTATAAGGAGGCAAGACTATTTTCTTACAGCCAAATAGTGGTTCATTATGTTGATATACCACATCTTATTTATGCACTCATCTGGCCATTGAGCAGTTGGCTTGTTTCCAGATCTTGATTTCAATGTACTGAGTTTTCCCTTTTTGGGGGGGCAGGGGGATAGGCAGTTGAGCCACACCTGGCTCTGCTCAGAGCTTACCCTGGCTCTGCACTCAGGGATCATTTCTGGTGGATTCCGGAGACTGTGTGGAGTTCTGGTGATTGAACCTGGGTCAGCCACTCTTCAAGGCTAGCATCACACCCACTGTACTATCTCTCTAGCCACCACCCCTCCTTTTCCATGTCTTATAAAACTAGAGCATTGTTTGCTTTTTTATTTTTTTGGTTTTGGGGCTCACTTCTAGCTCAGGGCTTACTTCTAGCTCATTGCTCAGGGATCACTCCAGGTAGGGCTTGGGGAACCAAGTATGTGGGGTGCTAGGGATTGAACCCGGGTCAGCCGCGTGTAAGGCGAGTGCCCTACCCACTGTGCTGTCACTCCAGCCCTGAAACTAGAGCATTTTAAAGATTAGTGGGACAAGTCAAGGGTTGTGGGAGAGCGCTTGAGAGCGCACTTGATAGAATCTCATCTCTGCCTCTCTCATCTCGATGAGGTGTCGGGATCTTGAGGATAAATTCTGCCTTTTTCTCTTATATACTTTGTGTTTTGCTTGTTTGTGCTTTGTGTTCTTCAGTCAGATTCTTAAGTGTCTTTGGGCCTCCTATTTTCATGTCTGAAAGTGAGAGTAAATACCACATGGCTTACATTTAATTTAATGACACTGTAAATGTTTCTAGCTTAGTGCTTGGCCCATCTTAGGAGCTCTAGGTTAAAAAAACATGTTCAAGTGAGGTATTTGGTAAACTATGAAACAATATGCAAATATAACCCTATACCTAAATATATTTTGAAGGTTCTGAAATAGCTGTTTGTCTGTAGCCTTTCTCTCCCTGGGACTGACTTATCCTTACACAGATTTGATTTTTTTTTAACTGATTTTCCTTTCTTTGGCGGTGAAAGGAAAGGATATTTTAGTTATTGTCGGCACATCTTGACATGGCAGCATTCGGAACTTTAGGTATTCTGTAATTTGTCTCCTTGCTCTGCTGCTATCCCTGTGATGTCAGTTTGGAGGTATCAGATTCTAGACATTGTAGGGGTAGAAACGAAAAATACGGGACGGCAGATCATGTTTTGATCATGAGGAATAAATGAAGCCCTGCTTCCTGTTGCCTTTTCCTCACAATCTCCTAGGCAAGATGTGGCTAATCAGATGTGTACCAAGACCAAGGAGGAGTGTGAGAAGCACTATATGAAGCATTTCATCAATAACCCTCTGTTCGCGTCTACCCTGCTCAACTTGAAGCAAGCAGAGGAGGCAAAAACTGCTGACACCGCCATCCCGTTCCAGTGTAAGCCCCTCCCTGTGCTGGTGGGAGGGAGGCTCTTATCCTCAGGCTCTTAGGACACTGGCAGATAAACAGTGATTTCAGCTAAAGAGCTTGTAGATGATGGGAGGAGTTGGTGTGGCAATTCTTGATAGGCAGGCAGGCCTTCATGGGGCAAGGAGGGGATGTGTCCCTGAGGTCACTGAGTGCTCTGTGCTGGATGTCAGGGCACCTGGAGCCAGTGTGTGGGTCCACCCATTCTAAGGCTCTTGAAAATAGCAGTTCACTTTAATTTTTGTTTCTCTGAGTTGAGATGTTTAAAATGAATGAATGTTTCCATGCTATTTTGAGTACATGCTAATTTACGAAGGTAAATATTAATTACGCAGAAGAATCCAGTGTTTTGTTCATTATTATTAATCATTTCAGTTTTAAGCCCAGGAAACAGTATGCTCCTTTTGTTCACTTGGTTATAATAGTGGGAAGGGGGAGAGATAGCTTAATTGGCTGTGTGTTTTGCCTGTGGGAAGCCCAGATTCTTTGATCCTAGTACTGCATGAGCACCACTGAGTGTGGTGTGTTCATATTCCCCATCCCCCCAAAAAAATTAAAAAATTACAGAGCCAGAGACAAAACTTACAGGACAGTGGGAAGGGCACTTAAGTGCCTTGCATGTGGCCCATGTGGATGTGCAATTAAATGCTGTACTCCTGAGCTATGCCCCTACCCATGTAGCGTTGATTCCCGCTACCCCATACAGTCCCTGGAGTACCACCGGGAGTGAGCCCTCCCCACCACTGAGTGTGGCTCAAAAACAAAATCTTACGTGGCTGAAGGACCTGTGGGCCTTCTAGTAGAACATAACCAAGGGACCAGGAATACGTTCCATAGGTAGAGTATATGCTTTGGGTTTATAAGGTCCAGGGTTCAGTTCCTTCACGGAACACCAGCAAACCAAAAAGGATCCAGCTGTGATGAATTATGAATGGACCTCTTTCCTGACTAAGCCCCCAAGCACGAGTCATGACATGGAGGAAGAGTTCTTTGTGCTCTCCAGTTTTGTAGCTGACTAACCCAGAGCCTGATGAAACTCCTACTTGGATGTTAGTTCTTTGTTTTCAAACACATTCCATCATTTTTATTTCCCTCATATCAATCCAGTGGGATAACAGAGCAGGTACTTTGTTTTACTCACAAGGAAACTGAGATTCCAGAAAGTTAAGTAATGTGTGCAAGACCATGATCTGTACTCTGAGCTAACTTGCAATTCCAGTGTTTAATGTGATTTTCATTTTTGACCTTTCTGTTGAATGAGATTTGCAAACTGAGATTGGTCCTATAGGGTAAGGGAGCTGAATATGGAACAAGTATTTAATGTCCTAAGTAGCACTGTAGCACTGTCCTCCCGTTGTTCATCGATTTGCTCGAGCGGGTCCAGTTCTGTAGTAGCAAAAGAAAATGTGTGTTGTGGCTAGAAAATTAGTATAGTGGTAAGGCACTTGCCTTGCAGGCAGTAAACTCAGGTTCTACGTAGGGTCCCCTGAAGCACACCAGAAGTGATCCCTGAGCACAGAGCTAGGAGTAAGCACTGAGCACTGCAAGGTATGAACCCCCAAACAAAATCAAAAATCAGATTTGGTTTTTCTTATGCTAGGAAATCAAAAATATGAGGGAATTTTCATGTGTTTCCATAAGAATTCCCTCAATCTTAACTTCCTTTTTTAAGAAATTACTGTTTGGGGGGGGTCAGGGAGGTAATACAGGAGTTGTAGCACTTGCTGGCATGCTGCTGACCTCATTTTGACCCCAGCGCCACCAGGAGTGAACCCCGAGTACCACCAGGTGTGGTCCCAACCCATCCCCCTTCAAAGAAAAAATAGAAATCACTCTGTTTTCATAATACTTTATCTTCTTACGTTTTCGTTTATAAAGGTATGTTGGGGGATGGGATGTGACTCTGTGGTGGAGCGTGTGTCTTTCACACGTGACCCATGGCAGAAGGAAAAAAATCTGAACTTCATTTATTCTGTCAGACCCCATCTTCTCCAGACAAAAATATTCCAGGATGTGAGAACTATTTCTGTCATGCCTTTTCATGCTACTCTTTTATGAAGTAACTAAGAAAAATTCTAAATTCTTACAGCTACAGATGACCCTCCCCGACCTGCCTTTGACTCTCTGCTCTCCCGGGACATGGCGGGGTACATGCCGGCCCGAGCAGACTTTGTGGAGGTAGGAGAAAGTCGCTTTTTGTCTCAGATGAGGCTCGTGTCTCTTACCCAGAAGTTCTACACCACTCAAAAGAGTTTTTTTTTTTTTTAGAAGTACTGCAGTTTGTTGGCCTGAAGGCCGCGAAATGTTCTTCCATTTTGACCTTTTCTTGGTTGTGAGCATTTTCACATGTGGACACAGTAAAAGTACTACAGCCCAAGAACTCATTAGTTTGGTTTCACTGATTGGTGTTGGCTCCCACTTCCTTGCTAAGTGTGGGATTTCTGAGTCTGGTTCTTAACAATATATTGACTTTATTCAGTCAGATATTAAATATTTTAGGTTTTCATGCTGCCATGTTTCTACTGCAGCTAAACTTTGCCATTGTAGTGCAAACACAGCATGACCAGTAAGTAACAAATGAGTATGCCTGTGTTTCAATAAAGCTTTATTTACAAAAACAGCAAGTGCGGGCCAGAGAGAGAGAACTCAGTGGGCTAGGCACTGGCTTTGCATGCAGAAGGCCCTGGTTCTTTTACTAGCTCTGTAGTACTTCTCCTCATCCCCCACAGTATCCTCAGGAGCAGCCGCAGAGCACAGATCCAGGAGTAGCCTTTAAGCACCATCAGGTGTGGCCCCCAAACAAAACAAAAACAGGAAGTGGATATATATATATATATCATGATAAAGGTAAAGGCCCTCCCGTTGATCGTCGATTTGCTCGAGCGGGCCCAGTAACGTCTCCATTGGAGACTGTTGTTACTGTGTTTGGCATATCGAATACGTCACGGGGAGCTTGCCAGGCTCTGCCGTGCGGGCGAGATACTCTCGGTAACTTGCCGGGCTCTCCGAGAGGGGCGGATACCTTCGTGTTCCTCCTTCAGTCATGGAGTTAAACATCATGTAAATACAACAGAACTTTTCTCAATTTACCATCTGACCCATAACTGCAATGTTCCTGGGTTTTACTTGAATGTTTGGCAAACTGTACTGTTGCTGCTCACATACCAGGTCAGCATTTTGCTAATAATATTATTATTGACTAAATGATGCCTTCTAAAGTAGTAAAAAGGTAAATTAATGCAGTCAGTTTTCTCACCTAAAATCTTTCAGACCTAGTGAGTCAGATTTTTCTTACATTTAATGAATAGACTCATTCTAATGTTAAAACAATAGATTTTTTTTTTTACTTTGTTCCTGAACTGTTCACATGTTTTGCTGTCACTCCTACCTAAAACCCTCTCAGATGGTCCCTGTGACTTCTTACTACTTTGGGCAGTGTCCTGGCCTTATGCACCATTCAGTATTTTTAAACAAGTGTTTGCGTTTTCTGTTTGCGTCAAACTCATGGCTGCTATAAGGCATTACTCACAGCTGATGGGTTTGGGGTGGGAATTCTCTTCCTCAAACAGGAATTTGACAATTATGCAGAATGGGACCTGAGAGACATTGATTTTGTTGAAGATGACTCGGACATTTTACATGGTAATGTTTCATTTCAGCAAATGTTTTTCTTGAGTGCAAATATATGATGACACTGTTGGGTGCTGGAAATACAAGGGTGAGTAAAGGAATCTCCTTGCCTTAATGAGGCTGAAAATCTAGTAGTTAAGTTGCCGAACTTACTCATGTTGGCGTCTTAAAACTGTAACCTCACGTGGGTAATAATGTGGGGGTCTTTAAAAAAATCTTCAAAAACTTGTAAAATTAATTTCTTGGGGCTGGGGAGATAAGTCAAAGGGTTAGTGCACGTGCTCTGCATGATGGAGGCCCACATTCGATCCATGGTTTCTTATGTCCCCGAGCACTGCTAGGAGTGTCCCCTGAGCAATGTGCTGGGAGTAGCCGCCCTGGGTGTGGTGCATAAAACAAAAGTGGGGGCTGGAGCAATAGTAGACTGGGTAAGACTCCTGCCTTGCATGCAGTTGACCCAGATTCAATTCCCAGCACCCCATATGGTTCCCCCGATCCCCGCCAAGAGTGATCTCTGTGTGCAGAGCCAGAAATAGACCCTGAGAACCACCAGGTGTGGCCATATAACAACAACAACAACAGAAAAGCCAAAGAAATCTCTTGGGAGTCAAAGAGAGAACCTCAGCAGACTGAGTGCATACTTTGCATCCCCACGTCCATCCTTCCCCCTTACCCTTCCTCTCCACCCCATAACTTTTGCTCCCACTTAATTAAAAAAGAATCACAAGTGGGCCAGAAGAAGTGTAAATTCTATTTCACAAAGAATGAAGGACAAAATTAAATACAAACAATTAACTATTGTGGGGGTCTTTAAAAAATCTTCAAAAACTTGTAAAATTAATTTCTTGGAGCTGGGGAGATAGGACAAAGGATTAGTGCACATGCTTTGCATGATGGAGGGCCATGTTCGATCCACGGTGCCACTTAGTCCCCGAACAGGAATGTCCCCCCATACCTCTTTTTTCCTTTTGGTTTTTCTGCCATGGTCAGTGGTGCTCAGGACTTGCTCCAGATGGGCTCAGGGGACCATATATGGTGCCAGGGATTGAACCCAAGTGGGCTAAAGGCAAGGCAAGTGCCCTACCCACTGCACTATTGCTCCAGTCCTCTAGGAGATACTGGTGTGATCCCTGATGCTGTATGATCCCTGAGCACTGCCAGGAGCAGCCTCCAAGCCCAGAGCTGGAAGTAGGCCCTTTGAGCATCGTCAGTTGCCTCCCCAAACCGAAAAATTTCCTTTACGATTTATTATCAAGTTAATGTTTGATTTCTATAACTATTTTATACATCAAGGGTTATATAAACATTTCTCTATGTAAGGGGTCACAGGCAAAAAAGCTATTACAAGCCTTGGGTTAATGAGCCTAACAAAAAAGATCAGTGAAGATGACTTGTGATGATGCTGAGACTGTTGCTCTTATAATGGTTATTGGAAATATTCCATCCTGGTACTGTGATCTTTCTTTTGTCCAAGTTAATGGGTGACGTCACCCTCAGTGACTCTTTAGAAGGAATGGAGTCTTAGACTTGGGAACTTACATAAGCAGTCACTGGAGCCAGAAGACAGCTTACTGGACTACAGGGGCACAGGGCTCCCAGCGCTGTCCATGGGGCACAGCTGGGAGTGACCCCTGAGCACGGCCGGTGTGGTCCCCAAACAAGCAGAAAATAGCAACTCTGACACTAAATGTTTATTATAATGTGTTACCCCAAATTTCCCATAGCAGAACAGAAGAATGGAAGTGTATATAAGAATTTCATAGAACCAGCTTGGGAACTGCCTGCTTTCTCAGAACTGTTGAATTTTTAGCAATTTAGATCTCATCTAAGAGTCAGCACTCTATGAACTTACTTCCGCTCTTTGTTTAAACTTAAGTGGCTCATGCTCAGGTCTTTTACAAGAAGATGGCTAGACCTTTGTGGAATCTCTTCCACCCCACCCCCTTTTTTTCATTATCAGGTAGCTACATATGTCAGTAATTCCCAATCTTCTCTTTCATTTCTACCCAGAATTGAATATGATGCAATAGATAAATAATTCTCCCTTGCAGTCTGTAATCTCCAAACAGAATCTTAACTCCCAATCTCAGGGAAGACCGGCAAGTGAAACCTTTAGGTGATTTCAGAAATATGATCCATATGAGTTTGTGAATAGAGAAGGACTGACTTTTATGTTACATTAATTAGTACTGTGTCACTAGTAGGGGCATTTGAGTCTTTCCATAGAAGACTGGCTAGGTGTTTGTTATCAGATTTCGGACCCAGAAAGAGGCTTATAGGAGTTTGGCCTTCAGAATGTTTTTTCTCTGATATTTCTTAGGCAGTTTCCTTTGCAAAATTTTATTCCTCCTCTTTTCTCCCACACAACGTTGAGGAAAGTCAAAGTGACGCAGATTGAACTAAAAGAGGAAAGATGAGAGCAAACTACTTTAGCTCTCACTCAGCCCTTTGTGCTTGTTCCGTCTTCCATGTCAATCTCTTCTCTACAGCATGGCAACTCATGTTACCATCTTTTCTCCCGCATGTTGTTCCCTTGAAGGAGTGTGCAGTATTCAGGATCTCTCCTCGATCACACCAGCTCTCATTAAAGTGCTCTTGTTTGGGGGCTTGAGTTTTTCTTACCGAGAATGCAAAAAGAACAGCTTTATAAGTAACCTTTTTGGCGGGCTGGGAGGGAGGAGGAATTTGGACCACACCCAGCAGTGCTCAGGGCTAACTTCTCCTGGCTCTGTGTTCAGGGATCACTCCTGACTGTGTTTGGGGGATCATAAGGGTACTGGGGGTCAAACCCAGGGCAGGGACATGCAAGGCAAGTGCCCTGCCAGGTGTACTATCTCTCTGGCCCCCAAAGGTTTTTATTATTGTTATTTTGGTTTGAATTTTGGGCCACACCAGAGGTGCTCAGGGCTTACTTTTAACTCTACTCAGGGATCACTTCTAATGAGCTCAGGGAACTATATGGGGTACAAGGGATCAAACCTGGGCCAGCCTCATATAAGGCAAGTGCCTTATCTGCTATACTATCACAGTGGTCCCTCCACATATCCTCTTAGATACTATTCCTAAATACAGTACTTTTCAAAGTACTGTAGTAATGGCTTGACCAAGAAGGTAAATTTCTGAATCACTTCTACAGACCCTAATTCAAGGGATTCCTTTTTGGTTTTGCTTTTGGGTCATATTTGGCTGTGCTCAGGGCTTACTCCTGGCTCTGTGCTCAGGGAATCACTCTTGGCAGTGTTCAGGGAACTGCATGTGGTACCATGGTGTTCTTTCATAAGCCTCAAAATACTAACAATACTTAATTGTTAGTATTTGATTTTGTTCTTCATTCTTTGTAAAGTAGAATTTGCATTTCTTCTAGTACACCTGTGATCCTTTTTATAATTAAGTGGGAGCAAAAGGGAAAATCAGAAACATTTATGAGATATAGTACAACAGATAAGGCGCTGCATTTGTCACTTGCCTTGCATGTGACCAACCCAGGTTTGATCTCCAGTACCCCATATGGTCCCCCAATCCCCACTAGGAGTATTTCCTGAGTACAGTCAGGAGTAACCCCCAAGCATTGTCAGGTGTAACCCCCCAAAAAATTTTTAAGACACTTGTAAGCTTTATGTAAATTAGTATTTCAGACCTATAACATATGATAGTTATTTGTGCTCTTTCTGCAGTTTTTACTTGATTCTAATTCATTTGAAGTAGATCCAGAGCAACAGTTACTGGTTTATAAGATGCATGTAATAATCCCTGTCTCCTCCTTCCTTCCCTGTCTGGTAGCAAGCTATAAAATGTTTAACTGGTCCCTTGTAAAAAGTGAGAACACTTCAAAGAGCTTTGGCAGCCCTAAGAGATCAAGGGACGTCTGACTTCCTGATGCCACCCAGGGATGCCTGTGTATGGCTAAGCTCTTGTAGTCTGACCCATGGTTCCGGGGCCCAGTGCTCTTAAGCACAGGGTACCTGAGCAGAGGGGCCTGGATCCCACAGAGACCCAGGAGGAAGGAGGATGGGCTTTCTAAGCACACAGACTGCCCTGCTGGACACATAGCCTCAGCATTGCTTCTTAGTCACTGTGTGTTCTTCTTGGGCAAGTCCTTGGAATTTGGATCATGGTTGCTTCTGTCCCCTGTCAGTAAAGAAGGGGCCTTCCTGATTAGTCAGAGAGTACGAATGTGTCCACGAGAGACGGCACATAATTCTGATTGGTGTTATTACCATTCCATTATTCCATTATGCCATTACACTCCTAATTCCACTGAACATTAACCACATTCTTTTCATGTGCCTTCATTTATGACTGCTGGGAGGAAGCACACTGTGTGTTGGCCGGGTTTGGTGTTCCAGACCAAGACATCAAGATCAGCTGATGTCACCAACCCTGGCTCCTCACCGAAAGGCGTACTTTGATTCATGGAGTTTGTCTAATAAAATGGGTCTGACTGGTCTAGTATAGAGCTCTGGGACACAATGGAAGAATAATTGCATTCCAGTCATACCAGAAGGCTTAGCTCTTGTGCTCTAGAAAAGGGTGCTGTTGGTGAAGCAGTGCCTGTGGAAGAAAATAAGGAAAAGACACTTGCTCCTATTTTATTAAACTAAGCAGAAAGAGGTGCCAAAGGCTCCTAACTTGGTTCTCTTCTGTGCCATGGTATGTTTACACACAATTCCACAATGACATACGGGACCTCAGTACAGACAAGTGACTTAATTCCCTTGACCTGAGGGACTTTGGGCCTCCCTTGTCCAGATTTTTACAGGTTCTGCAACTCTGATGCAGCACCGATGCACCACTGTCTTCTAATCCAGGCAAGCAAGGAATTGTGAGCTTCTTTCCATGTAGTGAGTTTGTGTTTTATCTTTAGTGTTGCACATCTGAACAGTTTTTTCTCCCTTTGTTTTATTTCTATTACTTTTTCCTTTGTTGTCATGATGTGGGGAGCAATCTCACACACTCTCTCTCTCTCTCTCTCTCTCTCTCTCTCTCTCTCTCTCTCTCTCTTTCTTTCTCCA